GTTGTTTCGCGTGCCGCGAAGCCCACCTCAAGGAAGAGCGACCCCCGCAAGGGCATCGTCGCCCGACTCAACAAGCTGCAGGCCTTCATTGCGGAAACCGTTGATAACGATGGCGGGGACTGCGTCGGCCGCATCCTTGAACATGCGGGCCATGTGGTCAAGCGCGGGACCACCGCCCTGGCCGAAGGCCGCAACGAAGATTGGGCGCTGCTGGTGGAGGCGGAGGCCTTCATCAAAGGCGCAGAAGCGCTGGCCAACGCAGAGGCGGGAAATGCGCCGAATGGCAGGGCTCAAATCGTCTCCAACATCGCCGCCGACATCGACCAGCTCACGAACGACGTTGACGCTCTGTCCAGTGCCGTCGCCCGTGGCGAAATCCAGATCGAAGCCCCAAGCCGTGATGAGACTTCAGCCATCAACAAGCCATTTGACAAGAACGAAGCACACCTTGAACTGAAGCGCGCGCAGGGCGTGCTGTGGATGCTGATTCGCTGCCATGGCGAGGTGCCCGACGGTGAGCGCCCCGACAGTCCGACGATGGTGTTGTGCATTCAGTTCGTCAGCCGCGTGCTGCACCGGCTTCAGGATGCCGCCGAGGGGTACGCCAATTCCGAATTCCACACCGCACTGTTCGATGCCAAAGGCATTGCAGGATGCCTTGACACCATGACCTGGTCGGACGGCATGCAGTTCATGGGAACCGATGACGTAATGAGCAGCCTGTACGACGCCATCCTCAATTGCGTGAATGACGCTCTTGCCGCCATGGATGGGAAGGTGGCAGCATGAGCGCTGTACTCGACAGGCCGGTAGTCCGGCAAACCACCAAGGCCGACAGAAAAGACCTGCCGGAGACGGTCCGAGGCGTGGTGCCGGCAACGGCCAACGTGCTGACCAACGCGGCCTACGACGCCGCAACCGACCAGATGGACATGATTCGCGGAATCATCAACCTTCTGATCGTCTACAACGGCGAAACCGACAAGTCGGCGCGCTTGAAGGATGCGGAGGTTTTCGGGCTCTACGCATTCATGGCAGCCCGGGCGCGTGACATTTCGACGCTGACATGGGAGGTCAACAACTCCATCGCGTCGGCGTGCTTCAACGTGCGCGCCATTCTTGAGACGCTGGAAAACGTCCTGCAAAACAACGATCTGGAAAACCCGCTTGGCACGGAAACAAACGACGGCCTTGTCCGCGCGGTACTGCTGGGCCTGGACGAACTGGACGCCGAACTCAAAGAGGCCCGGCAATGAAGGACGGCAACACCATGCTCCAAACACTCGACGCGATGCCGACCTACGAACTGCCCGCTATGGCCGCTGCCGCCGATCCCATCCTCGGGACGGTTGGCGCTGACAACTACCCGCTGGACCTGAAAAAGCTCATGAAAACCCGCCTGCTCATTCAGGCGGCATCGGGCGGCGGCAAGTCCTATGCTCTGCGCCGCATCATCGAGCAGACCCATGGGAAGGTGCAGCAAATCATCATTGACCCTGAGGGAGAGCTCGCCACGCTGGCCGACAAGTTCCCCTTCCTGTTGTGCTCTGCTGAAAGCGACAGCGCGCCGCTGCAGGCTGACAGGGCCGCCATCCTCGCAGAGACGATCTACCGCTCCGGCCAGTCGGTCATCCTGTCCATTGGCGGTTTTGATGTCGAAGAAATGCAGGAGTTTGTCGCCGGCTTCATGCTGGGCCTGATGCGTCAGCCCAAGGAGTTTTGGCACTACTGCATGGTGGCCGTCGATGAGGCCCAGCTATTCGCTCCCCAGCAGGATAAGGCCGAAAGCAAAAAGCCAATGCTCGACCTGGTGGCGCGCGGCCGCAAGCGGGGCCTGTGCCCGGTGGTTGCTACCCAGCGCCTTTCCCAACTCCACAAGGGGGTTGTCGCGCACCTGGACAACAAGCTTATCGGCTTGACCACCCTGGACAACGACGTGGAACGGGCGGCGGAACAGCTCGGCATGAAGCCCGCCAAGGCGACCAGCATCCTGCGAGGCTTGGACAGCGGCGAGTTTCTCGCCTACGGCCCGGCACTGTCTTATTCCATTTCCAAGGTCAAGGTCGGCGCGGTGCAAAGCTCACACGGTGTGTTGGGGGAGTTTGACGCTTCCAGCAACAGCCCCACTATGAGCCGCGATGAGCTGGAAAAAGCGATAGCGCTGCTTGGCGCAGCAGGCACCGGCGCAGCTCCAGCCAAGGCTGGCGGCATGCCCACGGTTGGCCAGATGCGGCGCTGGGTCATCACCCCGCTGCTCAAGAATCCCACCTATGGCGCTATGACTGAGCGCTGCAAGGAGTTGGGCCTGCAGGCCGCCCAGGCGCAGCAGTGGATCGCGCTGCTCGACAAGGACCCCACCGGCGCGGCGCTTGAGCCTGAACGTGTCGGCAGGGATATGGCGCGCACCTTGGCACGGCTGGCGCCCTTGATGCGGATGGAGGCGCTGGCGGCATGACAACACCCGTGCGCGGCCTGCCAAAAGGCGAGGCCATGAAGTATGTAGGAGCGAAGCGGCGCACCTTCGAGGAGAAGTGGTGCCCGCGTCTGGTCGGCATCCCGCAAGGGGCGTCCGTCGTCTATGACATCAAGGACCTCGACCGGGTTTTCGAGGAATTCAAAGCTGCTGCGGCAGGGGTACAGACGGAGGCGGCAAACGAGCCAGTCCCCCAGATACCCCACAATGGCCCCTGGAACGGTCGGCCCAGCACACAGAAAGGAATTAAGCCATGGGCCAAAACACACGGGGAATCCTCCCCGACAAAGACGGTTGGCAGGTTGACAAATGGAGCCGGAAAAAGCGCTTTCGACAGCGCGGTTTCCTCACTTACGCCGAGGCGGAAGGCTGGCTAATTGAGCAGA